AGCAGGGCCCTCAACCCCTCTGTTCCTGTGTGTCCAACTTGTCTGGTTACAACTACATGTCTGTTCGTCCACCCATTGTAAAGCGCTGCGGAATTTGATGGCACTATATAAATAACATAATAATAATAATAATAATAATGCGTATACAACCATCCTCATGGTAGTTGACCATTTTTCCAAAATGGCACACTTTATTCCACTTAAAAAATTGCCATTGTCTCAGGACCTGGTGAACACATATTTATACGTGATATTGTCAAGCTACATGGTATTCCTCAAAATATTGTGTCTGACAGGGGTTCCCAATTTGTGTCACAGTTATGGAGGGCATTCAATAAACAGTTGGGCATTGAATTGTCATTTTCCTCTGCTTACCATCCCCAAACTAATGGTACAGCTGAAAGAGCTAACCAATCACTTGAGCTGTATTTACGTTGCTTCGTGAATAGTACACAGTCTAACTGGGCTGAATTATTGCCCTGGGCTGAATTTGCAAGGAATAACGCTACCCATGACTCATCTGGGCATAGTCCGTTTTTTGTCAATGCGGGTCGTCATCCTGCTGTTCTCCCTGTTGCGTTTTCTGATACGCTATCCCTACTCTGAATGATCACCTTACCTCTATTCGTGGTACCTGGTCTAAGGTTCACCCCGCTCTTAAAACTGTGGCTGCTCACTTTAAGTTTCATAAACGGCGTGCCGATCCAGTTTGCCAGGTGGGTGATCGGGTTTGGTTATCCTCACGCAACATCAGGTTGAAGGTTCCCAGCATGAAGTTTGCTCCGAGGTTCCTTGGTCCTTTTCGTGTGGTTTATTATTCTCTGTCCCTTCCAATGTCATTACATATACCTAATACTTTTCATGTGTCCCTGCTCAAACTGCTTGTTTACAATTGGTACACAAGTGCAGTTGTTCCCCCTCCTACTTTGGTTGTTTCTGGACAGGAGGAGTACGAAGTCTCCTCCATCATTGATTCCAGGTTTTCTCGTGGTTCCTTACAGTATTTGGTTGATTGGAGGGGGTATGGGCATGCTGACTGTTCTTTGGTTTCGGCTTCGGATATCCATGCTGGCCGTAAAATTAGTTTTTTTCACGCCAAGTTTCCTCTCAAACCTGGTCCTGCCTGCCCGGTGGGCGGACTTCAGGTGGGGGGTAATGTCACGTATTCATCCACACATAAATATGTGATTAATGACATTTACCGTCCTGACAGAAAAAGATGTGCCGAGCAACATTACTGTCCTGACAGGAAAAGTTGTGCCCAGCAGCAATCATGTACATGGAAACCTGGTAGTGGCTTTTGGGGTCAAAGGCCAGTCATGGCCAATCAGATCCACAGGAGGGTTTGTGTTGAGAAACAATCATGCACATGGAAACCTGGTAATTGCTTTTGGGGTCAAAGGCCAGTTACAGCCAATCGGATCCACAGGAGTGGTATTTGACTTTGACTTCATTTTGACTTCCCTGAATTCTGGTATCCTTGACTTTTGGTTTTCCCTTATCATTGTGTCTGATTCTGTGTTCCTGACCTCGGCAAGTATTTTGACTATTCTTGGATACGTTAAGTCCGGCCATTCTAAGGTCCAGTTATAGGTTATCCTTAGTCCTAGGTGTGACACAGTTCTGCGTGCTGGATCAACTTGTAATCCTGACACAGTGTGGGTATGTTTTTCCTTGCAGCTGAATCTATAATATTAATCATTCTTCTTGTGGTTGAAGAGGAACATCTTAGTGGAACAAACCTGATTTGATCTGGATGGATTATAACCTTTAATATGGATTTTAGTCTGTATGCTAATATTGCCAAAAATATTTTAACATCACCATTTAGTAGTGAGATTGGTCGGTAATTTTCTACTATCGTAAGGTTTTTACCTTGTTTGAGAATTGGTAGCAAGTTGTCTTGCAGCATTTCTGGGGGAAAAGACCCTTGTATTACAATGTGATTAAATGTCATGGATAGCTGTTCTAGTAACTGTTCCTTAAATGCTTCATAGAACATATTGCTTAAACCATCTGGGCATGGTGTTTTCTGTTTTTCCATCTTATATATTTCTCTTAAAATTTCCACTTTGGTTATCTTTAACATTTTCTTCTGTAGGAGGGTCGTTTTTGAAAGCTCTCATAATTTTTTCTTTAAAGAGATATGAATGGAAATTGATAATGACCTCTCTTGTTTATTTTCCCGTGATATTTTTTGGTTTATATAGTCTGTGGACTCTTTCCATTTTTAATTCATGAGTATCTGCATCTGGTAAAATACTCTTATATAATTCTGTTAAAAAGTCTCAATTTTCTTGGGGGACACGCCTTGCATACCAGCCGTTTCAACTCTTGTTTTCCCTGCTTTATCCTTTACCGAGGTGGGGGAGAAAAACCCTGACAGCCTATTTTCTAGTACGGTGTCTTTTCTTTCTTTATCTGTTGTTTTCCTAGTTGCTATTTTAGATAAATTTTAGAGAGATTTGGATTTATCGCACACTCTCTCCTCACCTTAATTAAGTTTTTTTTTCCCCTTTTTTTTTTTGTTCTTTTGTTTCTTTTTTCCTTTCTCCTTCTCTCTTTTTCCTCCCCTCTTTCTCCCTTCTTCTTTCTCCCCTTTTCTTCTCCCATTCCCTTCTTCTTTTTCACCTTTCTTTCTATTTCCTTTTATTTTTCCTCCCCTTATCTTCTCACCTTCTTTCTTTCTTTTGCTATTTCTATTTTTTTCCTTTCCCTTCCTCTTTCCATTTTCTCTCTCTTCCTTTCCCTTTTTTATTTTTTTCCCTCTTCTTTTCTCTTTCTCCTTCTTTCTTTTCTGTTATTTTCCCTTTTCAGTAATAGCTGTGTTAGACAAACATATACAAGTGTAAAATAAATCCAAGAAGCAAACTTAACTTAAACTTAACTTAAAAGGGTTTTAGAACCTTTTTATGCATTGAGTATATCAGGATAGGGAGTAATTGTTATAATAGTTTAAATGAGTAATAGAATAAGGAGTAATCATTTCATTAGTTTAAAGGAGCACTATAGGGTCAGGAACACAAACATGTATTTTGGACCCTACAGGGTTAGAACCACCATCTAGCCACCCTGGTCCCCTCATGCCTCCCTAAATATAGTAAAATCTTACTTGTATTCAAGTCTGCAGCTGCTTATTTTGTCCCTGATTCCTTTAGACCTGCCCTCTGCCTGCTGACATCATCAGAAGTTTCGACCTATGACCAGGTCTTTATCAAGCTTAGCTTGCTAAAGACCTGGTCACAGGTCGAAACGTTGCAATAAATCTGCCTGGAAGCAATCACAGTGAGTGCCTGAGATTTGTTTTCATTAATACGTATTCCTTGAGGTTTGCTGACCCATGCTCAGTAGCACCCTGTGTTGAAATATTGTGGCTGAGTGCGACCCTATCTTTTCTTCTATCATCAGAAGTGGTAGCCTGATCCTATCACAATGCTTCCCCATAGGATTGGCTGAGAATGACAAAGAGGCAGATCAGGGGCAGAGCAAGCACAATTCAAAAACAGCCATGGCCAATCAACAACTCCTCATAGAGATTAATTGAATCAATGCATCTCTATGAGGAAAGTTTAGTATCTGCATGCAGAGGGAAAAGACACTGAATGTTTCGATGCATTTTAGGCAGCCATGACCCAGGAAGGATCTCTAACAGACATCTTAGGAGTGGCCAGTGAAGTTATCACTAGGCTGTAATGTAAACACTGCATTTTCTCTGAAACAAGCAGTGTTTATAGCAAAAAGCCTGAAGGTAATGATTCTACTAACCAAAACAATTTCAATAAGCTATAGTTGTACTGGTGACTATAGTGTCCCTTTAAATATCCAAAGAAGAAACAGACTTATCTTCCAGCCTTAATGATCGTGCAGATCTCCTCTGTTGTGTAATAGATGCTGCTCGTGTTTTCAGTTTCTGTGTTCTTCTGGGGTCGTTCCAAGAGTTTGCAGTTTTGTTTAGTTTAGTTTTCTTTAGCACCAGCTTTGTGCTCAGTGTGCCGAAACTCCTCTTATTAGTAGTGATAGATTAGTATGCCATGTCCCGAGATTGTCGATACTCAGGATTCCTTCAGTCAGTGCTTCCTCTTCCACTCGACGTGCCCGTGCATTCACGTCATCACGATCCGGTCGAGACTGGAGTATTTCAATGTTAAACTTAAGTTTTCTGTAATTATTTCCTGGTGGTCCGGTGTGCAGCTTTCCAGGAAGGTCAGCTACGTGCAAAGCATGCATGCAGAAGGCGGGGCTTCTGTTCAGGAGGTGGAGCTTCCATGTTTTCGTTATTTTTATATTCTGTTTATCTCTTTTTTATTATTATTATTTTTTATTATTAGGATATATATTTTTATATATAAAATATTCTTATAGTTTAGATTATTCAATTAACTATTAGTTTAATCTATATATATCTATATGCCTCTAATCTTAATTGGTGAATAATATATATTAAGTTAACCCCTTAGTTATTCCCATTTCAAAATGGGGGTAACGATAGTATTTCAAGTAAAAGGGGAAGGAAGAAACAAGAAAGAAAGAAGAAATGAAACTAAGCTGAAGACCTAGAATATGATTGATATAAAAAGAACAAACTAGAGGCATATGGAGGTATATAGATTAGACTAATAGTCACTTGAATAATTTAAACTGTAAGAATATTTTATATATAAAAATACATACCCTAATAATTAAAAAAATTAAAAAAAATAAAAGAAAAATAATAAAAAATGAGATAAAAATAATATAAGAATAAAGAAATACAAATATTTAGAATATTTGTTGGGGTAAATAGAAGAATAATATCTCTCATAGAAATAGTCTTCTATATAGAACCATGTGCATTTTTAATACGAATGATAAATTGTAAGATTTGCATAAAGACACCAGGTTGGACACAGACTACCGAAAACTTCTAGCCCTTAGAACTGACCTTAAAATACTTCTGAATGATAAAACGAAAAAAATCCATGCTATGGACTAAACAACTATTCTACTCTTTGGGGGGACAGATGAGGGCGACTATTGGCAACTGCTCTGAAAAACAGCAACAAAGGGCATATATCCATAAAGTCAGAAATGCTAAAGGGAAAATGGTACATACAGCTGAGTATATAGCAGACGCGTTCCAAGACTTTTACAGTTCCTTATATAACGTACACCATGAACCACCAGATACAGTAGAAGTTGCAAAGTACTTGACAAAACACCTTGACTGTCAAATACTCCAGACCATCTCCCGTTCATTAGAAGAACCATTTTCAGCAGCGGAATTGGTTAAAGCCATCCGCAAAACCCCACAACAGTAAGGCTCTTGGCCCAGACAGCTTCCCTCCATGTACTATAAAGTGTTTGAGGGAGAACTGATCACGCATTTCTTAGAAGCATTTAACTCCATTTCACACTCTCATTGCACTCTGTGCAGACCTTCAATGACATCAGTGAGGACAAGGAACGGGACATGGCTAGCTTGGTATCCAACCTTGTGCAAATGGGGAGTTTGTGGTTGTGCAAATGGACTGTTTGTGTTTTTTTGCGGTGCGTTAAACGGGGAGTTTTCTCGTTCACTGTGAAGCAGGCGTAACCCTTACACTACCTGATCGATACAACATCATACCTGATGTTTTAAAGCATGTTATTCCAAACAATTTAGGAATGTTAGGTGATTTATGCCCTTTATGGATTAAAACCAGACTCTGCATCAACTATGTAATTTTCCATGGGAGTTTTGCCATGGATCCCCCTCCGGCATGCCACAGTCCAGGTGTTAGTCCCCTTGAAACAACTTTTCCATCACTAATGTGGTCAGAAAGAGTCCCTGTGGGTTTTAAAATTTGCCTGCCTATTGAAGTCTATGGCGGTTCGCCCGGTTCGCGAACATTTGCGGAAGTTCGCGTTCGCCGTTCGCGAACCAAAGATTTTATGTTCGCGACATCACTATCCCACATATGTTGAAGATGTGGAAAGTCAAGAGGTGACCTTCTCCACCTTTGGTGGACTTGCGAGCGGTCCTCGATTTCTTGAGAATGGTTGGGGGACAATAGAGCCTATAACTGGTATGTGGCTTTCTCAGGAGGCAGGTGCCTTGATGTTCTTCAGAGTAAACCTACCTATGACTAAGATAAAATGCTCACTGATTTGCTTGATACTTACTGCCGCAAAGGCCACCATTACATGTGCAGGAAAACTAAGCAGAAGCTAACTAATAAAGAATGGTTCAGAAAAATGGAACCTTATCGGGCTCTTGAAGAACTCAGGTGGAATTCTCTAGGTAAGGCAGATAAACACAGCCTTATATGGCAACCATGAATGTCATATCTGACATCTATCCAGGGCCATGATCTGACCGGAACCAACACATACGACACAGTTAGTAATACAGGCCCTATGTGACAGGACAACCTTTCCACCATTCTAGAGTCATGTCAAAACAGCAGTCTAACAGAATCAACCACCTGATTTCCCAGTTGATTTCTTAGGGAGAACCTATTTTTCTATTTGTTTTACTTATTATTATTTATATACCACGATAGAATGGAAGCGCTTTAAGCAGCTGATGCAGTCCCTTGCTTAGGAATACATAATTCCCTCTTAATTGACTTTCAGCAAGAATATAGTCCTATGACTCTACCTGCAGCCTACTATTAAAGGAGCAGCTGGCTAAAGCTATAGGTCAGTGGTTGCACTTCACCACGTATTAATGGAGTGCTCCTAATGACCAGGATGCCTTCCTTTTCTTGATGGCACACGGGGAGGAGGGGCAGCATGCAGGCACCAACCTGCACACTGGGTTAATGGTCAGTGATATATCTGCTAACATGGTCAAAGCTCTGAGACAGGGTTGCTTTGCAGGTGTGCAATGTTCTGCATACATCCAACATCTTGTTGTGAGGGGTGCAATTCACAAAGCCAACACAATAGTGTAAACCATAGTCAAGCATTGCAAGAGGATTGCTGAGCATTTCCAAAGTAGTGTGATGCTATTACTGCATAACAAAAGATAGTTAAAATGTTGTATCAAGTGGTGGTTAATAGTTTAACAAACCGTGAAATGTGTTATTAATTAACCCTTCATTATGTGCTTTTACTTATATCTATAGTGAATTCTGCCCACATGACCTTTTCTTAATCATGTACTTCTATGAAAAAAGCCTTACACTGCTTTAATTCATCCTTTTAACATTCTCTCCATTACATTGCATCTTTTCCTGTCATTAAATTGTATATTCATTAAGTCTGTATTTTGTCATTACCCTGCAAATGTGTATTTATATTTATGACCCTCTGTGCCCAGTATTTATAGGTGTGCATACATACCTCCTTTTAAACACTTACACAGATTCCAAACAGATATTCTAGCATTATTTATAATAGCAGAGGGATTTAATAGCAGCATGACCTTTTCACGTAGAACATTCTAACTTAAAACTCTATTAATGTAGCATAAAATATATATCATCAAATCAGTCTAGTGTTACAAATGAGTCACATTATGAGGGTCACTGTACTCCTTGCATATTTACACCCAAATGAGTGGTTTTAAAATATATAAAAACACACTTAGGCTAAGAGTATTATTAAGAAGTCTGAATTAGGTCATATTAATTAAACATGGGTAGAATGCATAGTTTTACGGATCTGTGAAACTGTAGCCCTGCTTAAGCTAGCATCGGCAGAGGCCTTGAAAAACCTTGATGCAGAAATCTGCTTTTGAAGTGAAGTAGAGAAAATATGCTTAAATCATTAGTCATGTCATTTGGCTGTCAGTAAATAAAACCTTCATAAACCAAGCCAATAACTAACTCCAAAAAATGCACATGACAACAAAATCAAGGTAGAGTAATGGTCACAGCTTGTTACTTAAACTGGCAGCTACTAGCATAAAGAAAAAAGCCTGCCAGGTACACATCTCACAAGCCTTTTAAAAGGCCGTTAAATGTGTGTCTTATTACAGCCCTAAACTAGTGCAAGTCTAATTATTTCAGGCTATTTTTTACCTGAATTTGCAATACAGCATATAAGCTGTGCCAATAATTAAAAGGGAAAAAAAAATGCAGCTTCTGTCCTGCACATGTGTTTTCCCAGGCATAGAATTATATCAGAAATGCACATTAATACTGTGTATTGCAAGTAGCCTGGGTATTGGGTAGGTGACATATTGCCATATTTTTCCAAAGAACTTGACACCTCCATTACATGACTTGTCTGGACATACTGCCACTATTACACAGAAATGAGCATCGAGGTTTACTTTCCCTTTTGTGCAGATGTGACTTTAGAGAATTTAATTCCGGACTATCCTTGAGTGAGATGAGTCTGACATGCAAATGTAATGTCATATTTTGATTCATAACAGAGAATAGTAAATCTCCAAGCACTCACGGAATTCAAGCCATAGGCAAGTTTAATGGATCAACAAAGCAACGTTTCAACCTGCTAAGAGGTCTTTATTTTAGCAGGTTGAAATGTTGCTTGTTGATTAAACCTGTCTGTGGCTTGAATTTTGTGAGTGCCTGGAAATTTTTCCTGTTCTCTGTTATACATATTCTGGATTTGCTGGTCCTGCTCTTGACCAGTGCAGTGATTTACTAAAATGCTCTGTACCATATTTAAAACATTGTTTGTTGTTTATTGCTACGGGGACCCTGCTGTGTTGCGAGAAGCACTCTTTTGGTCATACACTTCTGCAGCAAAGATGCTAATGGTTATCAGTGACCTGGATCATTTAGATATATGTCATCCATCATACAAAGTTTTTCCCATCAATTCTTGCTTCTCTTTTATTTAAACCTTTTCATCACAAATTCCATTTAATAGGAGCTGTCAGCAAGAGACTTGACTTCTGACAAGACACACAGTTTTTCAGACTAAGGACCTTGTTTAATATACAGCAAAATCGTTCACACATCACCATTCACATTTTAAAATAATGAATACAGTTTTGTTCCAGATGTCATTCATGGACTTAACCATTAAAGATCTAATAACTAATTGTAAAGTGTTTCTAAAATGAAGAATATTAGTGTTCCAGCAGTATATTTGACAATGTTTTAATGTGATCATGGTGGAAGTAATACAAAAATAATTAATCTCTAAGCGAATACTATTACAATATTACAAAAGACGGGTTTTACAGTTAGGGCTGGAGAAAGTATTGATACACATTGTTATAACAATGGAATTTAGCATACATTATAAAGATAATGTTTTTTATCACAATCAATAACGTCTGGAAACAGTGTCTGAAGATAAGATGAGTAATCAGGATATTGCAGGTATTCAGGTTATCACAGCACCAAATATACACTATATTTGGTGCTGTGATAACCTGAATACCTGCAATTGCCTCAGTACCCTGAGTGTTGATAATCTATGTCTACGTGGCTATTGAGACATATTGGGACAAATACATCCAGACTATTCTGGCCATTCAGACTGAAAAATCTATAAATATTTAACTGAACCAAATGCTACTCAATTATTATTAAGATTTACCTACTGGCGGCAATGTTAGCACCCAGCACGCAAATAGCTAAATAGCAAGGTTTAAGTATTTGGTAGATGACCAGTACTTTCTTGCCAGCCACCACATAAAATAGTTAAACAATTCAATTAATAAAAAGCATATAATAGCGTAATTGCTATATACCAGAATAAAAACTGTTCTGTGCCCACATCAGGTGGGGATATATCTACTAAAGTTTTAAGCTACTGGGTAGGCATTTAAGCTACTGGGTTGGCATTGCTGGCCAGTAATCAGGGAGGCCCCAATTAAATGTTACATCCCCTTGGGCATCAGTTGGGGGACTTTAAAATAAGTTCTGGAGGGTGGACAGATCATTGTCCAATCCCATGCCTCCACCTGTGGCCAGTGAGTGGGAGCTATTTAATAAAATGAATTGGGGGAAATCTGTATGGGCAAAACTCTGATCAAAACGATAGAATTCTGACTGCATTGACAATTTTTTGATTTATGAAAAGCCATTTGTGGTCGGAATTCCATTGCTCCAACCAGGTTTGAAGCAATTGTAGGGATAGCACCAGTTTGAAAAAAATTCAAAACTGAATGCATTTGACAGGATCGTTGCACTTTTCTTGTTGCCATTGAATTGTAGCGCATGGAGCAGCATAGCTAATGGGAATGACAGGGCTTGGAGACAGGCAAGGAGCATGGGTAAGGCTTGGGATGGGCTAAGAGAAAGTAGAGGAGGAGTTTTGGCTATGGGAGTATATAAAGGGGCCATTTTAGATTAGGGGCCATCTTAACTAATCCTCACTTACCTGTTATTGTGGCAGGTCTGTGTGGTGTCTCTTTTTTTTGTATTTCAGGTGCTATTGCTGTTTGCAAGAATGGAGGAGCTGATGGAAGGAGTTCGGAAGACAGTCCAGCAGAAAGGAATGGCAGGGCTTCAATACTATTTTGGGGTGCTCTGGGCACAGCCGGGCCGTTAGCAATCCCAGGGTCTCGTCCTGCCAGAAGAACCAGGCTGCCCCAGCATTTGAGCCCTAACGAGCAGTCTGGTGGTCTGAGAAGGAAAAGCCCATCTGTGGAGCCTGAAGAGGTGGATGTGGCTCCTGGAGTCCCGCGACTGCCTGCTAGCGAGGACAGTGGCTGCCTGCGGCCGCACTGCCTGGAAGTATTCTTGGGAACGAGGCTGTCGGAAGACTTCAGATCCGCAAATTTGTTCAGTCAGTGGCGTCGGAACATTACCGCTGTAAACAGGTACCCTGCAAAACTGCCAAACATTCGGCCCGTGAACGGGAAACCACTGTACATTCGGGCAATGAACAGGAATCTGATGAACGTTCGGGCCGCAAACAGGGGACTGCCACATGTTCGGGCCATGAACAGGTATGCAGTGCATCTCCCGAATGGTTGCTTAAATTACTGGACATTTGGTTGGTGCAGCCAGGGCCTCGAATTCAGCCGAAACGTTTGGTCCGCGAGCTCGGGACATCAGCAAGTGCTTCTGGTTCGGGATCTAATTCAGGAATTCTGGGTTAAAAGTGGTGAACAGAAGAAAGGCTCGCCCATTGATGGCGGATTCGGCAGCAGGCATGGAATACGCTGCAGGTTCTTCCTATGCGTGGGCTGACATCGCCGTACTCTGGACTCGCAAGATAGGTCCCCTAAGGAGGCTGATGTGTGGAGCTCTAAATATCACTCTAGGAGTGTGCTTCAGGAGCAGGGAGACGGCAGGGGGTCACCTGGAGACACTGCCCTAGACCGACGCTCAGGTCCTTCAGTTAGGGGAGACGCCAGTGATCTCGCTTTTTCCAGCAGGAGTCCCCAGGAGCTGGATAATAGAGGGCACAACCCACATGGACACAGCCACTATTAGACTATTGGACGTGAGGGGGGGCGCTTACCTCGTCTGACGATAGGGAGGTCGGGGCACAATTGGACGGCATACCCAAGATGTTTTCTGTTTCCAGGTCCACAGGACGGTCACCCGCAGAGAAGGTGAGACCACAAGCGGTGGACACACAGCGGGAAGTGCCGCTGCGGTGGTGCCAGGACAACGACACTGAGATGCAGCCTCACGACTAACGGTGGCAAGAGGTTCAGATGGTGAGTCAGCTACTAACCATAATTTTGAGGAACTTTTTGAAGGTTTGAAATCATTTTTAGAATCTTGAAGTGTGGGTTCGGGTACAAGGGCAGACTTAAGTCAGGTGTGGGTGCCTAGATTGGAGGGCCATATAACTGTCAGTTACTCTTACTCGAGGTCGGAGTCCGGTATGCAGAGATATAAGCTCACCCATGCAGATAAAAACAGTCCAAGGTGATTAGACAAGAAACCAACAGGACTGTGAATCTGTGCATGGGGGCTATGCAGGAAAGGTGCTCCAATACTCTGTACAGACAAGGACACAAGCAGGAGGATAGTCGAGGATAAGCCAAAGTCACAGGATGCCAGAGGTCAGGATAAACTAGGAGAGAAGAACTGGGAAGGATAGCTGGGCCATTTGAGGAGCCCCCACTGGCAGACCTTTGGGTTCTCCTTTGGGGGTGGTGCCCAAGAAGGAATCTGGTAAATACCCAAAGGGTACGTCAGTGAATAATGATATCGATAGAGATCTCTGCTTGGTTTCATATCCATCATTCAACCATGCGGTCGAGTTAGTGCGGCGGGCAGGTCAAGGGGCATTGATGACAAAGGCAGACATGGAGGGGGCATTTTGTTTATTGCCTATATACCCCGATTGTGACCATCTATTGGGCGGCTTCTTCGAGGTGCAATACTTTGTGGATTTGTGCTTGACTATGGGCTGCTCCATTTAAAAAATGCAGTTCCTTCCTGGAGTGGGTGATCAAGGTGGAGGCAGGCACTTGGTTCATTGTCCATTTTTAGATGATTTCCTCAGTGTAGAGCATGCGGGTTTGGATGTGTGCCGGGTCGGGTTGGAACGTTGGAATGGGTCTCTCAAGTTTTCAGGGTGCTGTTGGCTAGTGACAAGACAGTGGGTCCTACGACGTGTTTGTCCTTTTTGTGTCTGGAGAACGATTCGGTATGAGGTGAGTGCCGCCAGGGCCGGACTGGTGCGCGGCCGCCTAGTGTGCACCAGCCCGGGCTGCAATTACAGGGTGACCGGCAGGAGGGGATACGCTCCCCTCCTGCCGGTCACAGAATGTAGCGTGGCCTAGCAGACAGACCGCGGTAGGGGAGCTTCTGTTCCCCTACCCGGTCTGACAGGAAGCAGGAAGCGAGAACGCTCCTCCCGCGAGCAGGCAGGTTGGAGCGTTGCCGTGCGTTACCATGGCAACGCTCCGACCTGCCTGCTGCTCTCGCGGGAGGAGAGCGAAGTCAGCCTGCAGCCAGAGGAGCTGCAGGCTGAACAGCACGTGCCACCACTGGACCACCAGGGATCGAAGAGTAGCCGTCCCCCCTCTCCCCTGACCAAAGGTAAGGTGGGAGGGGGGTAAAATGCCCATACACACACTACTCCCCCCCCACCAACAGCACCTCCCCCCCAACCCCACCAACAGCACCCTCCTCCCCAACCCCACCAAGAGCACCCTCCCCCACCAACAGCACCCTTTTCCCCCCACCAACAGCACCCTTCTCCCCCCACCAACAGAACCCCTCCACGCACACAGAACCCCTCCACGCACACAGAACCCCATCCAAGCACCCAGAGCCCCTCCACGCTCACAGAGCCCCTCCACGCTCACAGAACCCCTCCACGCACACAGAACCCCTCCATGCACACAGAACCCCATCCAAGCACACAGAGCCCCTCCACGCTCACAGAGCCCCTCCACGCACACAGAACCCCTCCACGCACACAGAACCCCATCCAAGCACACAGAACCCCATCCAAGCACACAGAGCCCCTCCACGCTCACAGAGCCCCTCCACGCTCACAGAACCCCTCCACGCTCACAGAACCTCTCCACGCACACAGAAGCGTTTTTTTCCCGCTTCCATATCTGCGCACTATGCTGGCGTGATGCATTACGGGGCTGGCATGGAACTTTTTTCCAGGGCTGCTTTTCATTCCCAGTCCGGCCCTGAGTGCCGCCTGCCGGAGGACAAGCTGATTGCTCTCCGGCAGGCGGTATCACAGGTCAGGGGGTCCCAGAAGGTTACATTACAGGTGCTCAGTCATTGCTTGGCCATCTGAATTTTGCTTGCCGGGTGATTCCGGTGGGTCAGGTCTTTAACAGGTTCCTAGCTAGGGCAACGAGTGAAGTGGCACTGCACCATCTGATTCGGGTCTCAGCATCCATGAGGGCTGATTTCGATGTTTGGGCGATGTTTCTACAGGATATCAACAAGCAGGTATTTTTCAGAAAACAGCGGTTTCCTCTCCTGATCTTGAATTGTTAACGGACGCATCGGGGAGTATGGGGTTTGCACGTATTTTGCGGGTCAGTGGTGTGCAGCACTATGGCTGGAGGAAAGGAAGGCCAGCCCACTCAATTTAGCCTTTTTAGAGAGTTTTTTTCCGATGGTGGTGGCATTGGCCTTGTTGGGGCACCAGTTAAGAGATAGGAAGGTGATCATCTTCACGGACATGTCCGTAGTGTACGCAGTCAATCCTGCTTCTTCTATCCCTGTGGTTCGGCTTAGTCGCTCTTTTGTCCTCTATTGGTTTTTATAGCTAGACAAGTACCAGGGTTGTTGAATGTTGTCGCTGATTGGCTCTCTTGTTTTCAGTGAGCGAGGTTTCGATCGGCAGCTCCGGGTGCACTGGAGGAGGGAATTTTGTGTCCGGAGGAATTGTGGCAGCTTGGGACCTCATGTTTGGCGGACTCATAACAGGGTCATTAGCGCCATAGACATGGGCAGCATTCATTAAGGTTTGGCAAGAATGGGACAGGGCAGTGGTCTGTGCGGGGGGTTTTGATACTTTGTTGTGGTTCGTTTGTAGGCGATTCGCTTTGGGCTTGTCATCTAATGTGTTGGGGAGGAAGATGACGGCACTAGCCTTCTTGTTTAAACTTGTAATTTGTCAGGCCCTTAAAGGTTATCGTAATGAGAGGACATTGCAGGATTCCCGGCGGCCATTATCTTTTGAGATTTTGCATGGTTTGCACTGCGTGCTTCCAGAAGTTTATTTTTCAGTGTTTGAAGTGCTTTTGTTCTCAGTAGCATTTAGATGGGCCTTCTTTGGGACGTTTCGGGTGAGTGAATTGGTTAGCGACAAAAGGTTTGACGGTGGAGGTTTGCAAAGTTAGGATGTCGAATTATAGGATGATAAGGTGGTATTACATTTGGAGCACTCTAAGACTGACATTTTAAGAAAAGGTTGCTCTGTGGTGCTATTTTTGTTGCCAGGGGTCAGGGTTTGACCAGTGTATTCGGCTTTCGCCTTTACGGTGGTACGGGCCAAGGTCCCGGGTTCATTTTTTCTCTCACGCCCAGTGGC